TCAGCCCTCTAGATAAATTCGTGTGTCCGCTAGGGGGGGGTACATGCCTTGCTTCACTAGTCTCATTAATAGGGTTCCCCCTTCGGGTACGGAACCCTAAAAATGAAGAAATTGAGATTGAGAAAACGTAATCGTAATAAAACAGAAATAAAAAAGAAAGAGCGCAATAAAAATTTGACATGCAAAAAAAAAAATTATCTATAAAAGCTGAAGATGAAAATAAAATACGCAAGGATAAAAATTTGACATGTAGGAAAAGAAAAATACCAATGGAAACTCAAGATGAAAAGAAAGTGCGTCAAGAAAATAATTTGTCATGTAAGAAAAAATTTTCTACGGAAACGGAAGATGAAAAGAAAGTGCGCCAAGAAAAGAATTTGGCATGTAAAAACGATAATCGGAATAAAAAAAGTGCAGGAGTTGCAATAATGTCTTTTAAAGATTTCAATGAATGTAAAGTTCCACAGAATTATTTAGGTTTAATAAATGTAGAATGTAAGCTTTGTAATGCATTACATTTTTTGTGTGAAAGACCGTCACATAGATCATATAGATACATCACCGAGGAATATCCCCGTGAAGAGGATATTATGATATCGCCTGAATGTCACAAAAATATTCCCGCTTGATATCAACTTGACATTTGAGCAATATTCCTTGCTACTTGGGTGGTAGATCCAATATAAAGAAAGTAGATAAGCTATGGGAGTTCTAGATAGTAGAAATCTGTTACCGGCATTATTTTTGCTAATTATGTATGTCAAATGAGTCAATATTACGTAATCAAGTTAATTCTTGTTTTTAGGTTTCAGGGTGTATTTTTTATGATGACGTAATTCATATTCTTTGTTTTTATTTTATATATTCGTAGAATTTGTTTAATTATATTAATTCGTAGAATTGTTTTTGGTGATTAGTCCTATAGCGGCTTGAGGTAAAAGAATTCTTTTCATCTTAGCGCGTTTAGATGCTTTTCTAAACAATTACTATCTTATCGCCAAATATTATATTTTTTCGGGGTGGAGAGCATTGTAATATGATATGCCAAAACTTGAAAATGTTTTTGATTTGCGAAAATAATCTTATGGAATGTCCGAATCACAAAGAAGCGGAAGTATATATTACACTGATATGACAATTTAAATATTGATTATCAGCATGATTTAATTTCATTAGATCGTGAGAAAAGAATTTTTGATTTATAATGTTTATTTAATATATTTCTTTCTAGGAATTATATTCACCAATTTACCCTTTTTTCAATATAATTAATCTTGAAAAATAGTATAAAAGGAGGTTATTTTCGTCCATATTAATCAGTTGCAAAATAAAAATATTGAGTGATATAGTGGAGTAGTGCATGTTTTAAACAAAAAATTATTTTTAAATAACAAAAAAGTAAAATAATGGATTCAATAAATTTTAAAAAACTCATTAACATTATGGAAAATGCTTATATAATAGTGAAGAATATTAAAAGTAAAAAAAGATTATTATTTGAATCGGAAAAGTGGATTAAATTGGGGGAGAGAAACATTCGTCTGTTAAATAAAATTTTGAAAGCTAAATCGATAACAGTAAGCAAAAAGAAAAGAATTTTAACAATTGTGGGAATTTTAAAAACCATAAGTGAAAAATTTAAAGAAATCCGAAAACATGGTGGTGGAAATAAGGGGAAAGAAGAGAGAAGAATAAAGTGGAAAAATTTAGAGTCAGCATTTGCAAAAAGAATTAGAACAGGAACAATTGTTAATTTAAAGCATAAAAACTTATTTAATTTTTTAGAAGAGTCGAAAGTTTTAATAAAATCTCGTATAAAAAATTTCTTGAATAAAAATAGTAGCCTAAAAGTAAATTTCGTGTTAATAGGAAGTTTTACAACTGTAGAAAGCGGTGAAAATATAGAAGAAAAAAAATCCTTTAATACAAAAAATCATGTTATAAATCTCTTCTCAGACATTGATACAATTCTTAACGAAATAAGTGAATATATACTTAAAGAAGTTGAAGAATTTTCCGGGAAAAAATCAGGCTGGTCATTAAAAGAGATTTTAAATTTAATGGTAAATATTAATAGATACGCGCCAATTCAAGTAGGTTGTTCTGAAAATATAAATTTGCCGAAATTTATCACAGACAAGCATGCTGTTGTAAATATAAAAAATACTGATGATTATTGCTTTCTTTGGTCAGTAATGGCAGCTTTGTTTACTGTGAAAGATAATGCAAATTTGACTACTTCTTATCCAGATTTTAGGAACGTTTTGAAATATGACGGAATAAACTTTCCTATAAAATTAAAAGATATTCCTAAATTTGAAAAATTAAATAGTTTGAAAATAAATGTTTATGGATTAGAAAGAGTTGATAAAAATAAAAAAGAGATTGTTCCTTTTTATGTAAGTGAAAATTCATCTAAAAAAGATACAATTCATTTACTAATGTTAAAAAAATCAGTCAATTTATCTGCAATAAATAAAAGTGACATAAATAATTTTACAAGTACTTATCATTTCACATGGATACGTAATTTGTCACGTTTGGTAAAATCACAAATTACAAAACATCATGGTCGAACATGGTTATGTGACAGATGTTTATGTCATTTTATGTCTGAAAATTCCTTTATTAAACATAGATCCGATTGTATGAATTTAAATAAATGTAAGGTTATTTTACCGTCAGAAAAAAAACGAGACTGTTTTAAAATTTAAAAATTTTCGATATAAAGAAAAGGTACCATTTGCATTGTACGCTGATATTGAAAGTCTTTTGGAACCTGTCAATGATAATAATAATTTAATTTCTGGAGCATATTGGAAACATATAGCTCACAGTGTTGCATTTTACTTCAAATGCGATTTTGATGATTCTTTATCGATATTTGAAACTTACCGCGGGGTTGATTGTATTTCATGGTTCATTAAAAAATTAATAAATATTGCCGATTTAGTTGAAACTTATTTAAAAAAAATAGTTCCAATGGAAACATTACCTTTTCAACAAGACTTAGAATTCAAAACTTCAAAAATTTGTCATATTTGTGAAAATTTATTTAAAGATGATGACATAAAACACCGTGATCATGATCACTTTACCGGAAAATATAGAGGTGCAGCTCATCAGCATTGTAATGTAAATTATCAAAATTCTCATTCAATTCCTGTAATCTTTCATAATTTGTCTGGTTATGATGCACACTTTTTTATAAAAGAATTCTGCACTGGTTTTGAGGGCAATGTACAACTGTTGCCAATAAATAAAGAAAAATATATATCATTTACAAAATATGTAGATGGTAAAAATGTATGTTTTAGATTTTTGGATTCTTTTAGGTTTATGCCCAGCAGCTTAGATAAATTAGCAAGTTTTTTAGATAATAAGGAAAAAAAAATTACTGCAAAATATTGCAATAATGATGCGGAATTTAATTTGTTAGTTAGAAAAGGAGTTTTCCCATATGAATTCATTGATAGTTGGGAAAAATTGGAGGAAATTCAATTGCCACCAATAGAAGATTTTTTTTCAAAACTTAATAATTCAAATATATCAAATGACGATTATCAATATGCTTGTGAAGTGTGGAAAACATTTAATATAAATAACTTGGGGGAATATTCTGATTTATATTTAAAAACTGACGTTTTACTGCTCGCTGATATATTTGAGAATTTCAGAAAAACCTGTTTAAAAGCATATAATTTAGACCCATTGCATTATTTTACAGCACCTGGCCTTGCATTTGATGCAATGTTAAAGTTGACAAAAATACAATTAGAGTTATTGCAAGATATTGAAATGCTGCTTTTTATAGAAAAAGGAATTCGAGGGGGAATTTCTGAATGTTCGAACAGATATGGGAAGGCAAATAAGCGATTCATGGGGGCAGATTTTAACGAACAAATTGAAGAATCCTATATAATGTATTTTGATATAAATAATTTATATGGAATAGCAATGAGTAATTTTTTGCCTTATAGTGATTTTCAATGGGAAACAAATTTATTAGAGTTTGATGTATCTAAAATTCTGGATAATTCTCCGTATGGATATATTTTAGAAGTGGATTTAGAATATCCTGAGCAACTTCATGATTCTCATAAAGATTTGCCCTTATGCCCGGAACATTTTATTCCCCCTGCTCCAGGAAGCAAATTGCCAAAATTGATACCACATCTTTTTCCGAAAACAAAATATATTATACATTATAAAAACCTAAAATATTATTTAGAGCTAGGAATGAAATTAAAAAAAATTCATCGAGTTTTAAAATTTAAACAATCACAGTGGCTTAAAGAATATATTGATTTAAATACGGAATATAGAAAAAATTCAACAAATGTATTTGAAAAAAACTTTTATAAATTAATGAACAATTCCGTTTTTGGAAAAACGATGGAGAATATTAGAAAGTATAAAGATATAAGAATTATTTCAAAATGGGAGGGTAGATATGGGGCGAAAGCCCTTATAGCTAAACCAAATTTTCACAGTTGTCACATTTTTGATAAAAATTTAGTTATAATAGAAATGAATAAACTTCAAATTAAATTTAACAAACCCATCTACGTTGGATTTAGCATTCTTGATATTTCAAAACTTTATCTTTACGAATTCCATTATAATTATATTAAAAAGAATTTTCCTCATGAAGCAAAACCAGTGTTGCCAGATACACCGCATTTCCGCATTTTACACCGCAATTTAAGGTCTTTATCCGCAATCCGCATTGACAAATGCGGATCACGAAAAATTCCGCATTTTGGCGAAAGACTATCAAAACATAAAATTAATATGTAATTTTTATTAGCTCTCAGTTTTTATTTTATACTTGTACGTAATTTTACCTAAATTGGACTTCTTTTGTGGAAAACCAATCAAATTAATGGATTTTATGCTGGGCGTGTGATTGCACCCTAACACTTTGATGTCGTTTCTCATCAGCTGTTTCTCGAAATAAATCAAGAGCACATGTGTCAGTTGTGTTGTACAAACTTATTTTCTACTACATGCGTTTTAAAATATAATTGAAGTTAGACAATTTGAAAGTAAGTTTAAAAACACTTTTGAATTTCCTTTAAATATCCTTAATAAAATATATTTTTAATGCTCCTGTATTATATTAATAAGAAAATGAAATAGATAAATTTTAAAACGAACATAACCTCTTTTTGTCTCTTAATTTGTTTAATATAGATTTGAGATTATAAGCATGAGATCGTCCCAAGATGAAGATCAGGAAAGCGAGCCTGAAGAATACGAACATCAAACTCCTTCAAAAAGGTCAAAGATTCATTCTAAAAGGAAACACACACCTGCAATTTACAATGTCAAATTGCAAACTGAATTTGCTTTCCTCAAGCCACACTCTTCAGATCCGTACAAGGCGCAGTGCAAGTTGTGCCCTGCAAGTGCCAATGGAAGGATTGCTTCGTTTCGTTGTGAAAGGTTATTTTTAGTTTTTTATCATAAACATCATACTGTTAAATGTGTTGTTTAAAATATTATTCTTTTTTTTATAGAAGTGACATCGAGAGACATGTTAAATCAGAACGTCACATTGCCAGCTGCAAAGAGGTAAAATCAGGAAACGTTCGGACAATGCAAATCTTCCTGGCAAACAACGCGGAGAATAAGGAAGCGATAAAGTTTGAAAACCAAGTGAAATACGCAGAATTAAAATTGTGTGGTTTCTTTGCTGCTCACAATGAGGCATTTATGAAAATGGACCATCTTCTGGATGTTTTAAAGCAGATATTTCCTGACTCAAAAATCGTTCAAGGAATTTCCTGCAAAAGAACGAAAACGAAAGGAGTAATAATGAATGTACTGGGCGTCGACGAAAAAGAAAATTTGGTTTCTGTTTTGAAAAAAAACAAGTTTTCTATTTTAGTTGACGAGTCCACAGACATCTCATCTGTAAAAACATTTTGCATCTTGGTGAGGTTTTATGCTGAAAATTGCGGTAAAATTTTATCTCGGTTTTGGGATTTGCAACAAGTTTTCACAGAGAGTGATCCAGATGGGGCAGAGGAAGGTGCAACTGCAAGAAGATTATTCACCATCATGAAAAAGACATTTGACAAACATCAGATACCATTTGCAAATGTTGTAGGCTTTGGATCTGATGGTTGCAACACGATGATGGGTGGCAATAATAGCGTCGCTTCGAGAATGACAGAATTGTGTCCAGGATTGCGGGTGTGCAAGTGCCTTTGCCACTCTTTGCATCTTTGCGCAAGTGAAGCTTGCAAGTGTCTTCCACGCTCTACAGAAGATCTCACTCGAAACATTTATAACTTTTTTAAAACCAGTGCCAAGAGACGAGCCCAATTTTCCGAATTTCAATCTTTTGTGGAGGTTGATGTTTTACGAATGCTTCATCCTAGCCAAACCAGGTGGCTTTCATTGACCAGTGTGATCAATAGAATTTTAAATCAATGGGAAGCTCTTCGTCTTTTTTTTGATGCCAAGTGGTTTGAAGAACGTTTAGAATCTGTCGAAAGAATTCATGTTCTTTTAAATGATGCTGCGACCAAAGCGTTTTATTTGTTTTTACAGTGGGTTTTACCCAAAGTGACAAGCATGAATGAACTCTTTCAGTCAGAAAAGTCGGTTGTCACAGTTGTTCATGATAAAATGAATGAGAGTTATTATGATTTGTTGGCATGTTTTATGAAGAGGAATTATATCCACACGACACCAGCCAATGAAATTAATCCAACTGATGAATCGAAATGGTTGCCTTTAAACCAGCTTTATTTGGGAATTGCTGTCAGTAATCAGCTTCTTCTACCCGAATTGATTCAAAGACCAGAGGTGGTCCATGACATTAAATTCAGATGTCGCCTCTTTTTGATCACTTTGTGCGATCAGTTAAAGAAAAGGTATTTATTACGTTTACTAATCTAAAAATTATTTATAAAATATATAATTCTAAAAATCATTTTTAAAAAATAATATTTTTTATTATTTAATTAACTGTTGCAGATTTGACTTTGATGATCCCGTGTTGATGCGTTTAAAATTATTTGCACCAGCAACTGCTTTGTCGCAGAGGGAAAGAGAGTCCACACCTTCTCTTCAACCATTAATGGTGCTGATGCCACGAATAATTGGCCCAAACGATCCAGGTAAACAGGGCTCATTCATTTTTTGTAATACGAATAATATACTAGTAAATATTTACTGATATTAAATTATCTAAGTAAAAAATATTAAACAATAATTTTCATTTCAGAAAAAATGCAAGAAATAGATGATCAGTGGAGGACACTGCCATTTCAAAGAGAGAATTTTCAAGACTTGAGAGATCTAAAAAATCCCGAAGATTTCTGGCACCAGGTTTGTTGTATTTCCAGCAAATTTATTGATCTTTCTAAAAGATAAATTAAAATAAAATTTCTAAAATTATTCATTTCTATTTATTTATCAATTTAAATTTAAAAATTACATAAATAATTATATATTTGTTGCATTTTTATTCTTATATCTTTCAGGTTAACATTTTCAAGGATGAAATAGGAGACAGGCCGTTCTCTACTCTCGCTTGGTTTGCATTAGAAGTTTTATCGATTCCAATCGCTAACGCCGATTGTGAAAGAGTGTTCTCAAAAATCAACGATGTCAAGACAAAGAAAAGAAACAAATTAATTACTTCAACTGTATGTGGTTTGCTACATGCTGACACAATTGTTCGTGATAGTGGAAATTGTTGTATTGCTTTCCAACCACGCCAAAGTATGTATGACAGAATGATCTCTTCAAATATTTATAGATCCGTTGCAGAAAACGAAGAAGAGTTTAACGATATTGATAATATATTTGCTGAAGCATAAAAGTAAAAGGCTTGTGAAGCAACTTAAAGCAATGTTTTTGTTTAAGTGTTTAAATTAACCAAAAGAAAGAATTTTACGAATTTATAAGACTGTTTGTAAAATAAAGTATTTGTACGTTTATTAAACTGAATAAGTAGACGAAGAAGAGTTAAACGATATTGATAATATATTTGCTGAAGCATAAAAGTAAAAGGCTTGTGAAGCAACTTAAAGCAATGTTTTTGTTTAAGTGTTTAAATTAACCAAAAGAAAGAATTTTACGAATTTATAAGAATGTTTGTAAAATAAAGTATTTTTAATCTGAATAAGTAGAGTTAAATAATATAGTATGTTAATTATAAACTAATTAATGTGATACTATTAATAAGTTTGAAATCTGAAGCATTCTATATACATATGTGACAAATCTATGTTTTGTTGTAAAAAAAATTCTACGAAAATATATTTTTTATTCAGTGAGACATTATTAACAATCTGATTAATTTATTTAACACCTTTATTATGAAACTAAAATGTTAGGATTCATTTATTGTTTTCATTTGATTTATAATACACATATAAAACGTGAATAATAAACAATGGTTCTATTTTAACAAAAAAGTTTTTTCATACGCTTTTAAATAAATATTTATGTTTAAAAAATTAAGAAAAAAACTTTACAAATAAATTAAGTCTTTTTAATTATTAGTTTTTTACCTATATGTAACTAAAATAATGTTTAAAAACAATTTTTTAAAAAATCCGCTTTTTGAAATTGAAACCCGCATTTTCGCGCCTGCGCTTCCGCAATCTTCGAAATCGAGTCTGGCAACACTGAGCAAAACTGTTATATACAGATACAGATAGTTTAATCTATCATATTAAAGTGCCAAATATTTATGAATATATAAAGCGAGATTCACATTATTTTGATACTTCTGATTATCCTGAAAATAATTGTTACGGTATACCCTTAAAAAATAAAAAAAAATTGGACTTAATGAAAGAATGGAAAAATTATCACGGAATTTGTTGGATTGAGATCAAAGTTATATTCATATAAATTATTAAATGAAGAAAAAGAAGAGAAAAAAGCTAAGGGTATTAAATCTTCAGCATTAAAACAAATAACATTTAAAGATTATAAAGATACACTTTTACTTTATAAGAACTTAACAAAAAAACAATATTCAATTCTCAGTAAAAAACATGATATCTACACGGTAGAACGGAAAAAGGAAGCTTTGAATTGGTATGATGATAAAAGAGTACTTTTACCCAAAAATACCGATACCATTCCTTGGGGGTATAAACAAAATAAAAAAAAAAAATTTTTTTAAAAATGCAAATTTTAATCTAGAAAATAAATTCTTAAAAAAAGTGTGAGTATTCGCTCTCTTATTCTCTCTTTCTCTTTACCTTAATTCTTAATCATCTTACTCTCTCATACCCATATTAAGCAATTAGGTGGACTCATCTTATTAGAGTAGTATGTGTTATCAAATCTGCTCTCTCGTTCTAATACATATTGTTTTGTCTTCGTTTGCGAATTCCAAAACAATGGGGCTGTGTATAAAAAGGAGACCCCATTGAAGAGGCTTCATTCAAAAAAATCAATCAAAAGATCAGCATCAGAGAAGTGAAGTGCTGTGATTTTTATTTCATTTATTGAAAAAAAAGTGAGTTAATAAATAATTTTTATTCTAATTAAATTTAATACTATTAATTTTATTAAAATTATATTTTTTAAAACAATTATTTCATTATAAATTAAATTTTTTAAACTTTAAAAAGGAAATTAAATTTATTTTATGAGAATTAATTTTTTAAAAATTTCTTTAATTATTGAAAATTGTTTCTTTGAAATTAAATTTTTTAAAAATTCATTTTCAACAATTAAATTTTTTTCAAAATTTCATTTTTACAATTTTTAAATTTTTTTCAAAATTTATTTTTACAATTTTTAAATATTTTTCAAATTTATTATCCAATTAAATTTTTTTTAAATTTATTATGCAATTAAATTTTTGAATTTATTTTTACAATTAAAATTTGTTCTAAATATTATTTTTACAATTTATTTTTACAATTAAAATTTTTTTTAAACTTATTTTTACAATTAAAATTTATTTTTACCATTAAATTTTTTAAAAATTTATTTTGCAATTAAATTTTTTAAAAATTTATTTTGCAATTAAATTTTTTAAAAATTTATTTTGCAATTAAAATTTTTTTAAATTTTATTTTACAATTGAATTTTTTTTAATTTTAATTTTTCAATTAAATTTCTTTTTAAGTTATTTTTAGAATTAAAAATTTTTTTTTAAACTTATTTTTACAATTAAAATTTTTTAAAATTTATTTTTACCATTAAATTTTTTAAAAATTTTATTTTGCAATTAAGAGTTTAAAAAATTTTTATTTTACAATTAAAATTTTTTTAAATTTATTGTTTAAAATTAAAATTATTATAATAATTGTTTATACTTAATTAACAATAAATTTTTTTGCAGTTTAAAAAATCTTTGAAAAATGGCAGGAGGATATAACACATTTAATATTACTATTCAAGCCCCCAAGAGGTGGCTACTTGACAGCAGCATTGATCAATTTAAGGAATTGTGCATTACGGGTCTTACAATCAGGGCAAGGGATATTTTCAATCAAATGTCCAGCAGATCAGATCCTGTCTTCTTCTGCTTTAATGATGTCAGGGGAAAAGTCCATTGGTGTGCCAATGGGTATTGGATCCGTCATCACGGATTAAACTTTGATGAAATAATTGTAAGTAACAATATTTTAATAAAATAAATTTAACTGAATTGTGAGTTTCGAAAAGGGCTCCACTTAAAAAAGCATAAGTGTCATTTTCTCATAACAATTGACAGTGAAAATGATTCTTACACTTTTTAGAGTTGAGCCCTTTTCGAAATTCATCATTCAATTAGTATTTTTGTTTTTAATAAAATATGTTTTAACAATGAAAATTTTATTGAATTTATTTATATAATTTATATAATTTATTGAAATTTTTATATTATAATATAATATAATATAATAATAATAATAAAATATAATAACAATTTTTTCATTTTATTTGTGTTGCAGGATAATGAGAATTATGCAGGATTTATACTGCAATTTGACATACCCCACGAGTGGCTGTCAAATTGCATAGACTTGGCAGCCCTATTAGATTTTTCCATACTTGCTGCCGGTGTACGCCGCTATAATTTGTTTAATGATTTTCCCTCAATGGGGGACCAATATTTTTTGGAGCACCAAGGAATCGTGGTTGAAATAAAGGAAGTGGAGGATTATAAATTTGTTTTATTAAGGAGGCCGGACATCCCTACGTTATTCTCACCCAACTTCGATTTTGACATTATTAACTGTCCAGGGGAAGAGGAGGAGTCCCATGAAAATGGGAATGAGGGGCAGCCTTGTGGACTACTTCAAATTGATTTTCGATTACCGATTGAAGAGGAGTCCGAAGAAAATGATGATGATGATGATGAGGAGGAGTCCCAGGAAAGTGTAGTACAGGGGGAGATATTGGAAAATGGAGGAGGAGAGAGGAGTCCCAGGAAAGTGGAGTAGAGGGGGAGATATTGGAAAATAGAGGAGGAGAGGGGGGAGATGCAGGAAAATGCTGTGGGGATGGTGGGGCAAGAAGAAGGGCAGGATTCTGGCATTGAAGGGGATATCGTTGAAGGCTATTCCAATAATGAACAAGACGAGTCCTTAGATTTGTCATTAAAAAAAAAACAAAATTAATTCTTTAAAAACTTAAAATATCTAATTTTTTTTTACACATTTTTAAAACTATTTTTAACATTTTTAAAACATTATAATATAAAAACGTAAAATAATAAAAAAAGCTTGTCTTTTTAATGCCTGTTTTATTTTAATATCCCTATCCTATTCTTTGATAATATACATATATAGAGAGATATTAGAAATAACTCTAATAAATAAATAAAATTTTTGTTATATACCTTAATTTTGAAGTTTTTGATAAAAGAAAAAAATTAATAATAATAATAGTGTTTTTATTCGAAATGAAAAAAAATAAAAATGTTTAATGATGGAAAATATAAATAAAAGAATTTTAAACTACTGTTTTATATCGACAATTAGATGTGATACCTTGCAGATATGAGGATAATTCCTAAAAAATGTAATAATAAATCTTTTAATTATTTTGCCTTAATTAATAATTTTTTAGTGAAAAAAAAAATTATTCAATTAAATAACTTAATTTTTTATAGAAAGTCGTAAATAAAAAAAAAATGCTTAAATATTCCACTAAAAATATTTGTTTATTTTTCAAATAAATACATATAAAAACAGTTATTAATTACAAAACTAATATTTTAAATTAATAAAATTTTGTAGAGTTCAAATAAAATTTTTTTGTTTTAAATCAAATCTTTTGTGGATGCTTAATATATACAAAGATAAGAGGCCTGCCACATCTGGCCTGTCGCACATCGAACTTGCTGTATATTCCACATCTGGTATATTTGTCACAGCTTCTAGAGTAGCACATAACTGACCTGAGTCAAATTCCTTGCAAGGTCAAGTGTATACTTTTGAATGACTTTTTATTACCATAGTTCATTCATTCTCATTTTTCAGAATTATACAGATTTATTTTAAGTAAAGTGTTACTTGCTTAATTTAAGGTTTATTCTAGTTATAATGTTTTATAGCAATAATATTAAATAATAATAATAAATTCTATTATTATTATTAATACTATTATATTTTTACAATGTTTAATTAATTAATTAACTAATAATAAATTTTCAAATTTACACAATTTTTTTCACAATTCCGCTTATTGGTTTATATTCAACAATTCTATCATGCAAAATTAAACAATAAGCTGAAGTGTTTGTCGGAAAATTTTCATTCGATTCAAATTCCAAACGAATGTCAACTGGTCCACTTTTTAATGACTCATTTTGCTTGGAACAATCTATTACAACTAAAGGAGCGTATCTCAAAAATTCCTTTTTCGTTAAAATTGGTTGAGATTCTTTATTATAATAAGACGCTTGGAAATTAGTAAACATTTCATATAAAGTAGAATACTGATTTTTATCAATGTTAAGATTCATATTACCGTAGGGATAACATTGTGAATTTAAAAACAACTTTACATCCGATAATTTACAGTGATCAAAATAACTTGAATTTAGAGCAGTATTACTTTTTCTGTTTCTTTGAAAACCTAAAACAATAAACCTAGGTTTTTCTAATTGACTTGAAGTTTTTACACTCCAAATATGCTTAGGAGTAACTGGTAACAAGGGATATTCATATAATTCCCAAGTTCTGAAGCTTATTGCAATGGATGGATCTCTTTCAATATATTTTAGTAATTTAAATTTTCGTGCATCTGACAATTTTATATATGGCAACAGCCATTCAAGTTTTTCAATTACAATTTTAAATTCTTCGAGAGGTGCTTCTTGTAAAACTGCATTTGAATCAGTTCTAGATCTAATTAAAATAAGCTCATGTTTAGCATTAATAATGATTTTTTGGTAATCTTCAGCGAAACCAAAAATCATATTTAACGGTATACACACATCAAAATAACCATCATCATTAGTTAATTTTGCTTCGTCAGAAAGTTCCATCCAACCAACATTTTCGAGAAATTTGCTCTGACTAGCATCGAAAGAAACATAATTTTTCATAAGACTTGTAAGGCCGACATTTTTATTTTTATCAATCTCTACACCATTTAATTCATACTTTGCTTCCTCAAATAAATGACAAATGCCATTAGATACTAATTTTGTGCGCGCTAAAGCTGTTCCATCAGGTTTCACAACTTTTCCGGTTACATGAAGCAAACTTTTGCTTGGAAGAAGGCAATGATCCTGATTTTGCACAGTGATTCTTATTTCGTCACTATTATTGTACGTTGATGATGTATATGGTTGCTGCGCATGTACCTCATAGTTAGCAATAGATTCATCAAAGATGATTGGTGAATCAATATTTAAAATTTCCCCTTCCATAACAAAAAACTATTCGCCTAAATACAAATACACAAATACAAGTAAAAATTCTTTTTATCCTCTTTTTTTCACGATTTTGAGGCCTAGACTTTTTAGTAGCTGTAGATTTTGTGGTGTTAGCCGTCTCAGAACTCGTCGTTGACTGATTTTCTTTTGCCATGGTGTGTTATTTTTATAACCAAAACCAATTTTTCTTCTGTTACCAAAAACAATCCCCATTATTTTAAAGACTTTATGTGAAGTCTAATTGTTATCGTCTCTCCACGAAAATTAACCAACTGTCCGTCTTGATCAACAATTTTTAACTGAATATGGTCTATTGTCTTCACTGCAACTGGTAGATAAATGACGTGATTTGGTACTTCTACTATCTTATATCCTGGTGGCACAACAGGAAAAAATTCATGAATTGTATGCACTTTTTCCCCGTTTATATATGCTCCTGTAGTTATGTTACATTCTACTCTTAAAGAATTTATTTTAATAATTGATACTGGTTGATCAGATTCATGATATTCCTGAGCTTTTAATTTGCGCGGAGAAAATCCTAACAAACTGCCTATAGAGTCGTTTGGTTCAAAATTAATTTCTTTATCGCAATAAATTGTACATGTTAAAGTATTATTATTAGGTTTAATTCTAAAAAAATACCTTTATTTTTTAAAATTAAATGCAACGCTTGATCAATGTCACTAATTTCATAACTTCCTGTAGGAATAATAAATTCTTCTTTGCCTACATAAATTTTATTTTTTCCAATATCAATGTTAGGAATAGAATTGAATGTTAAAAATTCGACAAGACCGAGCGCATAATTTTTTAATGATGATAAGTCAATGGGTGGAAAGAATTGAGATTCTAAGATAGAAGAATTTCCTGATAATGTTAATATCAGTGAATCGTCCATGATGAAATCAAACTATTAACTAAATTGAAATTTCAAATTATTTGTCTTTTATATGTATAGAATAAATATCAGGAAAATTTAACTGATTAAATAAAAATTTAAGACATAAATGTCCACAGACAAATGTGTCATAATTTTGATATTTTTCATAATTAAACTTTTTGCTACCAGCACCGAAATATTCAATAAGATCTAAAGGTGGTCGAAGATTGCCGAAGATATCGAAATAAATAATTTCATTTTTATTCTTTTTATAAGCACACCAATGTGTACCCCGACCATCTTTATCGTCTAAATTTATAATTGCTGATTCATACTTTCTAGGGCCGCTTACAGGTAGTTCATTTCGCATGAAAATTCCTCTAAAATATGGAATTTTCAGGCGCTTTGCAAATTTAAATAAATCTAAATCTGTAAGGGCTCGGTGAGGTAGCTTCATTTTAAGTTTTTTGACTTGCAACCTAATCCTTTTTTAAATGAAAGCCCTAATCCTGTCCTATATGGTTTCAAGTAAAGCCCTTTTCCTAAGGCAATCGACTCCATTGTTTTATTATGACGTTTACTTTCTTCAAGTTGACGTTTTGCAGCGCTTGCATCATTTACAGCTTTCGCAATTCCAGCTGCCCCTCCTGCCAATGCCCCTGTAGCACTTAAACCCGCAAATAAAGGAATAAGAAAAATGATGATCATATAAATACTGATATGTCCTTTACAAAATTTAAAGAAATTTGCAGTTCTTGCTGGAAAAATAAGCATGATTTTCTAGTGATTGATAAAGATCGTGAAATTAATCAGGGTAGATACAGAAAATGTTTTGATTGTTTTATAAAATTAGAATAGTAACTCAACAAAACAGCAGTATAGTTATATACATTGAAGTAACAACAACAACAACAATAATATGCCTTACGCACAAGTTGAAAATTTGCAACAACAAAAAAATATTCTTGGAGAAATTGCTAAAGCAAGTCAAGCGATTAGACGAAAACATAGATTATTAAAATTGGGAAAGGAACAAATTAAACAATCTTTAAATGATACTTTTAAACCAATTGTTACACCAATACAAAAAATAATTGATGACATTGAAATAGTAAAACATATTCGTCCAACAAGAGTAGAAACAAAAAAAGAATATAAAGAAGAATTAAAACAAGAAGAAGAAGAAGAAGAAGAAGATAATCTTTATGATAATTTGCAAATGAATAATCATTATGAAAATTTACAAATGAATAATTATTATGATGATAATGAAGCTTCATTTAGAACAGCAGCTTCAGATGAAGATATTAAAGATAACATTCCAATAATTTCTGATTCACCACAAAATTTAAAAGAGAATATTTCAAATGTGTATCTACAATTATTGGATGAAAATAAAAAGGATATAGACAATATATATGGTGTAAGAAAATTATCTAAAGGGAAATTAATGATTGGTGATTCACCAATAAATTTTGATAAAAATGACATTTTTATCAAAAATTCAAGTTATCCAGCAACTAGAGGTTTGCTTGAGCTTTTATTTAAAAAAACACCCGAAGAAAATTATATAGATTCAATAGATAGAGAAAACTATAAGACTATAATTTTATCAACAAATGCTCATAAGAAATATTTCAAGGCAGATGGCGCAATTCGTGATAGAAAGAGTTTAAAATTTCAAAATTATATTACTGTACATACTGGTGAAGGTTTAATTCCCAAATATATGATTCATCAAGAAAATAAAAAAATTGATTATGTTTTTTGGGATGATCCCAACGAATTGGTTGATCGTTTAAGGTTAATTTTAGCATCTCAAGCAGCTGGTAATCCTAGCCATAATAATGAAATATTATCAATAATTGAAGAATTGCGTGAAGCTAGAATTATTTATTAATCAATAGCTTGTTGAAATATGTATCATTTTCAAGATGAGTATCGACATATTCGGTCGTCAATTTAAAAGAGCAGAAAGTTCAAACCGGGGCCCTCCAGGACTTGGTTTTAAGCTGACATCTAAAGGAGATTTTAACATGGAAAATAAAAAATTATCCAACATAGCTGATGCTGAGAGCGATGGTGATGCAGTTAATTTGAAGCTTGTTAACAAAATTATAGATACTAAAGCAAACGCCATCTATGTTGTAATAGAAGCATTAAAAAGTGACAATAATGCAAGAATTTCAACACTAGAAGATACTACGACAAAATTTTTCGAAAATCTTAAAACACATATTGAAAGAAATATAGAGTTGTTGTCTATGAAAGATGTTATTTCTCAATTGGACAGCAGACTAGAAGCAATTGAATCTAAGGAAGGAAGCAGAAGGGACGATTTGTGAAAATGGAAAATCAAAAGCTGCAGTTGGTAAAAGAATTGCATAAGCCAGCAAGAAAAAATTATAAGCGAAGAAATGTTGACATTCGAGGTATTGATGAGACATGGCAAGCTGACCTCGTTGAAATGCAACCCTATTCACGTGAAAATAACAACTACAAATATATGTTAACCGTCATTGATATCTTTTCCAAGTTTGCCTGGGCAGTTCCTGTCAAGTCTAAAAAAGGTGAAGAAGTTACTGCCGCAATGAAATCTGTTCTTATAAAAAAACGCGTACCAAAAAATTTACAAGTGGATCACGGAAAAGAATTTTATAATTCACATTTTGAAAATCTAATGAAAACTTATAATATTAATATGTATTCTACATATAGTAATTTAAAAGCGTCAATATGCGAACGATTTAATCGAACTTTAAAAAATAAAATGTGGATGCAATTTAGTTTTCATGGTAATTATAAGTGGATAGACATTTTAAGTAATTTGATATATGAGTATAATAATACTAAACATCGAACTAATAAAATGAAACCTAAAGAAGTAACTGCTCAAAATGAAAAAGAATTATTAACTACTATTTTTAAAAGAAAAAAATTTTCAACAATTAAAACAAAATCTTTTAAAGTAGGAGACAAAGTGCGAATTTCTAAATTTAAACACATTTTTGAAAAAGGTTATACTCCAAATTGGACTACAGAAATTTTTACTATAAGTGACGTAAATAATACAGAACCAGTTACTTACCTTCTTAAAGATTACCAAGATATGCCAATATCTGGAAGCTTTTATAATCAGGAACTTTCAAAAGTTAAATATTCAGATATTTATTTAATTGAAAAAGTGCTGAAAAAACAAGGATCTAAAGTATTTGTTAAATGGCTAGGTTTTGATAGTTCGCATAATAGTTGGGTAAATAAATCAGATCTGTAATATATTGTAAATTTTTGTAATAAATAAATAAAGGTTTAAAAATAAATAAAAACCAACATGTAAAAAAATTCTTTTTTTTTATTTCCTCTCTTCCTTACATTCTTTAAAGAGTACATTTATCTTAAGTAGTGACGTCATCTTGCATACATCCATATAAGTTGTTTATACTTTACTGTTTTCAACACTATTTACTTTAGAAATCAGTTCACAAATTTGTTTTGATAAATATTTTAAATGAAAATAATAATATCAACAAATAAGGTTTCAATTTCTAAACGCGATGTAAAATTATGTTTTTTTAAAAGTTTTATCATTAACTTTTTATAATTTTTAAGCACAAAAACTTCAATTTCTTTTTGATTTAAAATATTGCTATGACATAAAATTTCCACAATATTTCTCACAATTAAATAATATGCTTTTTTCAAACGTCCAGAAGATAAATATTCGAACTGTTGATCGACACAAAAAATGAGATTTTCCAAAATTTTAAACGCTGCTTCCTTCAAAATATACGGATAGTAAAAATTTCTGTCTCTTCGATCCTCGAGGGCTATTGTGTTTTCTCCATGTAAAGTTCCAAATCAAATATGAAAATTTCCACACTTTATTACTTGAGGAGTTTCATTACCTTTGAAATATTCTGAGATAATGTTAATGTATTGTTTAAAAATTCTCCAATCTTGAAGATAAAGTGAAATATTGCTCCTTGGATGACTTGACACAAATTTTAGAACACCAATTAATTCTCCGGCTGATGAAAATTCTGCGCCTATTGTAATTTGCTTCGTAAATGATGAATTCAAATTAAATGTTCTTGAAAACATTAAATGGTTT